AACATGGAGTATCTTTTCATTTATTAAGATTTTTAAAATTTCTTTTACCAGAGTTCTGTAGTTTTCCCAATCTGTACACCTTTTATTTCCTTTTATTGTCTCATTGCCGTAGCTAGTACTTTAAGTATAATGTTGAATAGGAGTGCTGAAACAGGGACATTCTTGCCTCATTCCTGATCTTAAGGGGAAAGCATGCAGTTTCTCACCATTAAGCATGATGCTAGCTATAAAATTTTTTTGTGGACGTTCTTTATCAGGTAAAGAAAGTTATCCTATGTTTCTGGTTTGCTGAGAGTTTTGATCATGAATGATGTAGGATGTTGGCGGGAAAAACAGCAAATATTATTGGCAGGAAAAATAGCAAATGTTTTTCCTGCATTTATTGATATGATCAGATGATTTTTCTTATTTAGGCTGTTGATGTGATGGACTACATTAACTGATTTTTTTCCCTAGTTTTCTTTATTTTTTTATTTCATTTTAAGTTTCAGGGTACATGTGAAGGATGTGTAGGTTTGTTATATAGGTAAATGTGTGCCATGGTGATTTACTGTGCTTAGCAACCCATCACCTAGGTATTAAGCGCAGCATGCATTAGCTATTTTTCCTAATGTTCTCTCTCCCTCCCCACCTCAACAAGCCCCAGTGTGTATTGTTTACCCCCATGTGCCCATGTGTTCTCATTGTTCAATTCCCACTTATAAATGAGAACATGCGGTATTAGGTTTTCTGTTCCTGCATTAATTTACTGAGGATAACAGCTTCCAGCTCCATTCATGTTCCTGGAAAGGACATGATCTTGTTCATTTTTGTGGCTGCATGGTATTCCAAGATGTGTATGTACCACATTTTCTTTATGCAGTCTACCACTGATGGCCATTTGGGTTGATTCCATGTCCTTGCTCTTGTGAATAGTGCTGCAGTGAACATACACGCGCGTGTATCTTTATAATAGAATGATTTATATTCCTTTGGGTGTATACCAAGTAATAGGATTGCTGGGTCAAATAGTATTTCTGCCTCTAGGTCTTTGAGGAATCACCACACTGTCGTCCACAATGGTTGAACTAATTTACATTCCCACCAACAGTGTAAATGCCTTCCCATTTCTCCACAGCCTCACCAGAAACTGTTGTTTCTTGACTTTTTAATAATTGCCATTCTGACTAGTGTGAGATGATATCTCATTGTGGTTTTGATTTGCATTTCTCTAATGATCAGTTATCTTGAGCTTTTTTTTTTTTTCATACATGTATTGGCTGCATGAAAGTTTGCAAAGGACATGAACAGAAACTTCATGTGATATGACCAATTTTACCACAGATCCTGGCATGTACCTTGCAGTTACTTCATAAATACTACTTTTCTTTCTTCTGTTAAGGTACCTAAGCTTGAAAACAAGGACCATTTTTATTCTAACCCATTGTGAGGCATTTCTACCAGGAACATAAAAAGTTCTTAAGTATTTGCCATTCTTACAGTGCTGAAAAAACTGCCTTGGAAAAAAATAACCTGCTTCTATAAGGACTGCCTTACCCTAAAGGGCTTGAAAGAGATTCCATGGTTCATTTATTCCTCTCTTCTTCCAAACACAAGTATACTCTCCTTTTTTTAAATACCCAGCTTACTACTGAAAAGGCCCATAAAAACTCATTTCTTCCTGTCTGGGTCTGAATACAAGAACATCAGTATCAAATACTAAGGACAGTCATTTTGCTCCGGTGATAGGCTATATGTCCTGGGGGGTAGTAGAAGTTATTGAACCATTTAAAGAGAGGTAATAGCCTGATTGTACACTTCACCATCAAACCACACCTGGAGAATTGTATCCCTTTTTGAACACCATAACTTAAGGAGGACATTGACAACATTAGAACATGTCCAAAGGGTGATGACCAGAATGATAATGGGGCATCTAGATGTCTAGAAACCTTGCTATATTAGGACATGTATTAACCCAAATTTATTAAATCTATTTGCCTGCACCACTTATTTTTCTTTATGTTGTAAAAAGTTAGAATATTTTCTATTCAATGCCAAAATGTTCATGATAGCTTTGATTTTACATTGTTTGTTCAAAGTTTTCCTGGATATAACCCTTGATTTCTTCCCAGGAAAGAGGCAGAGGAAAACCTCCCCTAGTTGAAGTGTACATTATTATCTGACCAAAAAAAAAATCAATGAGCTGAACTTTGCAGTAATTCTAGCCCTTGATTTCATTTCATGAAACCTCAAGTTGCCAAGAAAAGCTGAGCATCACTTTTCACCTAGTGTTGGTTTCTGTAAGTCTCCCAGGAGCCTTTAGTTGACCAGTTATGGTTTGGTTTGTTGTTCTGTGATACAGAAGTAAGTGGGTTGGGGAAAGCCCAGAGATGTGCTAAGTGGATTCTGAGCTGTGGAAGTCAGAGCAGGGAGCACATATGAGCTTGAGGTTCAAAGTAAACCCCTAGACCTTTTCCCCTGCAACATGCATTGTGATTGTTCTTTCTGCAGAAGAGTTCATGATCTTTTATAATTTTCTTTTTCTATAGATTTAAGAGTGCTAGTAGCAGAAACTTTTTAAAAATGTTATGACGGTACAGTCAATGGAATCTTGCTGTTGTACATCTTGCACTTTAGAGAATGAATGCACTGTACTTGAGATAGAGCTTTCCTTGTATAAAATTCATTTTAGGGATGCTTGGATGATTGAGATCTACAGGAGTGGCATATCCACAGCTGTCTTTTCCCTCCTCTTCATTCTGCACAAAGGCAAAGGTGAAAGGTGTGCCTCTGCTTTGTTGGTCTTTGGGTTGCAATTCCTTCTAGTATGTTTCCATTTGAAGATGGGAAGCCAATGGGAAAATAATGAGTTTAAAATAGAACTTTACTTTCTGCAAAGGTTTTTGAGAATATGTGTATTGGCTGTAGGTCGAGGGCAGCAAGAGTGTAACTGTTACGAAAGACACTAGTTTGTGTTGATTGCTTCTACTTTCCTGTGTGACCACGGGAAAATGCTTTAACTCTACTGAGCCTCAATTTTGTTATCTATAAAATGGGAGTTGTAATACCAAACTTAAAAGATTGTTGTAAAAAGTAGATGCCATAATATACTTGAGAATGTTTTGTAAACTCTAAACCATATAGCTTGTGAATACTTCTAAGACAAGGATGGTCTATCATTTATCTCCATCTACCCAGCACTTACGTGCCTCTAGCACCTGCCGCAGAGCCTGATATATAACAAGTGATTGCCGGCTGAAATTAAAATGAATGAATAGTTTCAAATCTCCAAATTTCTGATGATTTTAATGAATTTGTTGACTGGTCCTCTGTATTGGGCTAATCTCTTGGCCTCATCCAGCTTTTAGAAAACAAGGATTGAGACTAAAGGAGCATGTGGAGTTTGGAGAGTTGTTATAAGATAGACCAACTTTCTAGGAATTGCTTAATGTTCTAAACAAACAAAAAACCAAATGAACATTCAACAACTTATGGAAAGGCAGATTTTTTCCCCCAGGGACACACAGCTGCAAAGTAGAAGTAATCAGTGCAAGCTAGTGTCCCTCAGAGACTGTTACACTCTCACTGCCCTCAGACCTGCAGCCAACACACATATACTCAAAACCTTTGTAGGAAGTTAAGTTCTGTTTTAAACTTATTATTTTCTCAAGTGAGCTTGGAAGCCCAATCGAATTGTCCTGGCAATTGTTCAACATTGCTGGCCATGTCATAAGCCCAAGGGAAGAATCTAGGGAGCATGTTCTACCCTGGGAGGGATCTGGGGCAGATGGTGGTAGCACAACCTAGAGCTCACTTCTGCCACAGATGACTGAAATGTTGGACTAAGTGATCCCAAGGAACTGTTAGAGTATGGTCTCTCTAGTAGTCTAGAAGTGGTAATAATTTGATTTTTCAAGGCTCATGAACTGGCATCATTTGGAGTACATCTGTCATGGACCTTTGCACTTTGAAAGGAAATGGAAGGAAGGACTAAGTTAATTTTAAGTGTCTCAGGAAACTTGGCTGTTTTTGTTTTTAAACTGTCTTACTTCTTCAAAAGCCTATTGTGGTTGTTTTTCCTTCCCTCATATAGATGTAGAACTCTGATTATATGAAATAATTTGGGTCTGGGATGTTTCAGTTTGGAGAAAATGAGATGGTGATATTACTACTTTCTTTTTCAAACCAATGACACTGATTAGGTTTTATGCAAAGGGATTGGGGCAGCAGATGTAACCATGAATTTGTGGTCTCTGTAGAGCAGATAAGGCTTCCAAGCCACGTGAAAGCTGAACTTAGCAAGGAAGCTTAGTAGTTATCCCTCCGGATGTTCAGCTTGCAAATACCAGAGGTGTTGTTTTCAATACCAAATGATAGATAAGTACATGGATTGTTTTTCCACCCAGATAAAAATGCATTGGATAAATTCCATTTCCAGGTCTGGCAATCTGTCAGAAAGCTCTCTTTAAAGTTATCAGGAGAAAATCTACCAAAATGATTAAATTTGTGATAGCTTTTATTCTTGGCTAGGAACTTGCCTCCCCTCCAGGGCTAAACAGGCTTAAATTGTTGTGTGAGTTTATACAATATATGGTTTGTTGTCAAATATTTATCTCTGTCTAAAAATGAAATGTCCTGAAATACAATTTCTTTTTAACTGAATAAATCAATGTGAGAAAGAGAAATAACTTCTCATTTAGCCAATTTTTAATCAATGTTTTCATGAAAGGCCGAAGTGTTAACCGAATCCTGGCTTTTGTCATTTGAAATATAATTTGTGTGTTAAGAATTTATGTGCACATCAGAATCTGGACTTCATGTTCAGAAAGGAAAATTGATTTATAGGAGCAAACAGCTGCAAGAGTAGAGGCAATGCCAGAAGTGAATGAGAGTCAATTATTTAACGCAAATGGGACCTTAATCACCACAGCAATAGAGAACTCTCAAATTCATTTACACCCTGGATTTTCATGCTTTAATTTGTACACATTTTTGTGTCTCTCTTTTTTTTTTTACAGAGGCCTTCGAAATTGTTGTTCGCCATGCCAAGAACTACACCAATGCCATGTTCAAGAACAACTACCCAAGCCTGACTCCACAAGCTTTTGAGTTTGTGGGTGAATTTTTCACAGATGTGTCTCTCTATATCTTGGGTTCTGACATCAATGTGGATGACATGGTCAATGAATTGTTTGATAGCCTGTTTCCAGTCATCTATACCCAACTAATGAACCCAGGTCTGCCTGATTCAGCCTTGGACATCAATGAGTGCCTCCGAGGAGCAAGACGTGACCTGAAAGTATTTGGGAACTTCCCCAAGCTTATTATGACCCAGGTTTCTAAGTCACTGCAAGTCACTAGGATCTTCCTTCAGGCTCTGAATCTTGGAATTGAAGTGATCAACACAACCGATCACCTGAAGTTCAGTAAGGACTGTGGCCGAATGCTCACCAGAATGTGGTACTGCTCTTACTGCCAGGGACTGATGATGGTTAAACCTTGTGGTGGTTACTGCAATGTGGTCATGCAAGGCTGTATGGCAGGTGTGGTGGAGATTGACAAGTACTGGAGAGAATACATTCTGTCTCTTGAAGAGCTTGTGAATGGCATGTACAGAATCTATGACATGGAAAACGTACTGCTTGGTCTCTTTTCAACAATCCACGATTCTATCCAGTATGTCCAGAAGAATGCAGGAAAGCTGACCACCACGGTGAGTACCAGTCTACAGTTTTCAGAGGATTTGGGCCTTATTGGGGTGAGGTGGCCAGTAGCAGGTGCTGATAGAGATAAATGATAACAAAATTTGAAGCGGGGGAAGGGATGATGATAGACTGAATGACCTCACAGAGTTAGGCAGCATATTAAGACCACAGGCTATTATGGTCCACCCACTTCCTTACTGTGTGACGTTGGGAAGTCATTTTATCTTTATGGGTTCATTTTTCTGATTCATGAAATGGAAATAAAAAGAATATCTTCTTCATAGGGAATGGCGTTTGTTAAAGCACTTAGCACGTGTCTGGTACGTGGTAAGTCTTCAATAAATGTTGGCTATTATTAGCATTATTGTCAGTTATCATAATCCTCATTTTTGATACACAATAGATGACAAGCCTGTGAAGTGGGAGCTATTATCTTCATTTTATAAATGAGGAAACTGAAGCTTAATGAAATTGCAGCTTGCCTAAGAGCACCTACCTAAAGTTAGTGGAAGAGCCATGCTTCAGAAATTGACCAGATCTCCCTTTAATTTGGTTATCACCAATTTTTCTGATTCTAATTTCCTCTTGGTGTTTTCAGTCATGTATATCACATTAGCATTTTGAGTAGTAACTTCAAACACAGAAGACCCAGCTAGAGTTCACTAACTAAACCTCACAAGCACATAAGCAAGGCAAACAATCCATGTTCTCCAGTGGTTTTGTTTATAGCCTTGATTCTATCAGTCTAAGCCTGATGAAATTCGTGATGGAGGAAGGGAAGTTCTGTGAGTGAGGCAGCAGTTTGCTTGGTTTCAGTCAGATATTGTTAGTAACGGAACCACAGGAGACACCAACTTCCAATATATAGCAGAACATGTAGCCAAGAGCTACCAGTCAGTTCCCCTAAAGTAGTATCTGATTCCTGAATGCTGCCAGCTTTGTAGAATGAGGTGGCAGAATAGTATATTACACTACCATTGTTGAGCTTCCACTACATCTCAAGTGCTATGCTGGCTAGTTTACATAATATCATTTCATAGTAACCCATGAAATCAGTCCTAATAAACCTAAAAGCTGGGTTTTGCTTTGTTTTTCTGTTTTAGAAATATTCTATTTCTCCTTTCTGCTAATTATTTTTCATTGATATACAATAGATGTACATATTTTCAGGGGACATGTGATAGTTTAATACATTCATATAATTTGTAAAGGTCAAATCAATATGATTGGGATATCCATCACCTAAATATTTGTCTTTATGCTAGAAACATTCAAATTCTTCTTTTCTAGCTACTTTGAAATATATGTGGCCAGGTGCTGTGGGTTATGCCTGTAATCCCAACACTTTGGAAGGCCGAGGTGACAGGATTGTTTGAGGCTGGGAGTTCAAGACCAGTCTGGGCAACATAGAGACCCCATCTCTACCAAAAAAAATTACAAAAAACTAGCTGGGCATGGTGGCATGCTACTGGGGAGACTGGAGTGGGAGGGTGACGGGCTCAGGAGGTCAACTCTGCAGTGAGCCATGATCACGCCACTGCACCTCAGCCTGGGCGAAAGAATGAGAAATGAGACCCGTTCTCAAAAAAAAAAAAAAAAAAAAAAAAAAAAGAGGAAGAAATATATGATAGATTACTATACACTGTAGACACCCTACTGATCTATCAAACACTGAGTCTTATTTCTTCCTCAAAGCTAGTTAAGTCAGAGGAGCTGGGATTCAAACCCAGACCTTGTTGGCTTGGTTGATCCACACCCTTAGCATCTATACAGTGCAACTGCTATGCACTCTGAACCATTGCTTATCCAAAATGTGGAGGATGGATTAGGCTATTTCAGCTTGTCTTTAAACTCTAGGGGTAATTAGTTTCTTTGGTGAATTAAACTAGGAAAGAGGACAAAAATGATGCAACCCTCGGCCTGGTTACTTATGGAGTTGCTGTAATTGCCCCATTCACAATGTTAGTCATTTAAAACACATTTCCTGTGAAAATATTTTATAGTAAAATGAACAAAAATGTCCTATCTAATTACAGTGTTCTTCAGTGGCTAATTATTCCCTTGACTGCTTCACAATTTGAGGCCAGTTTCTGGGGGCTTCTGCAAAAGTAAATTTTACCAAACTAGAGAAAATAAATGCATTTATATGTTCATTCACCTAATACTAATTCAGGGCCTACCATGTGTAAGACACAAAGAAAGCATGCCAGGGGCGTGGAAATGCTTTCAGTAAGAGGAAAATAAAGAGACAACATTAAAGACAGGGTGTAGGAGTGTTTAAAGGTTGCCTCTGATATTGGTCACTTCACAGCAACACAATTGATCTTGAAAACAAGTATCCTCCTTTGGTGCATTTATTTATTTATTTATTTATTTATTTATTTATTTCTGAGACAGAGTCTCGCTCTGTTGCTCAGGCTGGAGTGCAGTGGCATAATCTCTGCTCACTACAACCTCCGCCTCCTAGTTCTAAGCGATTCTCTTGCCTCAGCCTCCCAAGAAGCTGGAATTACAGGCACACGCCACCATGCCTGGCTAATTCTGTACTTTTAGTAGAGACGAGATTTCACCACATTGGTCAGGCTAGTCTCGAACTCCTGACCTCAGGTGATCCACTCACCTAGACCGCCCAAAGTGCTGGGATTACAGGCGTGAGCCGCCGTACCCGGCCATGTGGTGCTTTTAAACACATAAAAAATGAAGTGAGGAGCTTATAAAGAATTAAGTGCACTGTTTTGATCAGGCACTAGACATGAAGGTTCATTTAGGAAACATTTATTAAACATCTGCTTTGCGTATGGCACTTTGCTAGGTGCTGGATATTCAAAACTACCCAAGACATAGTTCTTAAGTCTTGAAAAGGTCACAGTCTAGTTGGTAGACAGACGTGTAACTGAATACATTTCACCATAGTGAACATTTCACCATAATGTGAATGTTGAAAGGACTGTGAGAGATTAGCTAGTCCAATCCCATTGATTTACAAAGGAAGAAATAAAGTTCAGGGAGGCTTACCCAAAGTTATATAATTAATGGAGGAGCCAGAAGTAGAATCCAAGGTCTTCTGCTGCTACAATCTAGTACTTTTTCCATCATACCAGTCTGTCCCCCCTTAGGCCCCCCTAGACTTTTACTCTAAGAGCTCCATTAGGATTTTGCAAACACATAGTGAACCTAAATTGGATAGCTATTTCTGGCTGCCAAACCTGCTACATTTTAGGTGCATGCACATGAGTGCAGGGGGAGTGCATTTCATGTCATTATCATTCAGGAAGAAAGGCTTTGGCTGTCAAGAGGTGCTCAGTGATGCAGGCCCTTTCTGTTTTGGCCATTAAGGGCCTGATTGCTCCCAGCTCCCAGCTGGTTATGAGAGTGTGAATTCTGCCATCCCCAGGGAATGCCTGAACTAAACCAGAAAACATATGTAAACTCTGCCTTGTTCGTGTTTTATGATCACCAACTCTAAGTAATATGTACCAAATGGTAGGGGTAGGGGAATCACTGGCCAGGTGTGATCCAGCCCATACTCAGTACGGGTCAAAAAGGGACTGGGCATTTATGAGGGCGAAGGGAAGTCGGAGCTGCAGAACTCTATTCACATTAACAAACCCACAGAATGCCCCAAAGCAAAAGCTGGTTTAAAACTAAAGCTTTAATGAGATTCTCCAGTAGCACCCTCACCTTCCTGTTGCGATAAAATGTAAAAACCTGCCATTCAGTCCTGCTTGAGGTTCAGTTGTGGTGAGAGACTTCTTTAAAAATATCCTCTTCCTGAGCTCTGCTGGGATATCCTTTCGAGATGGTTTTAAGCCATGACGTGAGGTCTGCCACACAGAGACTTTGCCTAGTTGTTTTTGTGGCTGTCATCTACCCAGATTATGAAGATTGCTTCGGTCTTCTAAGTGAGTGTGGTACTGTTCGGTTTTTTAAGTGTGGCTGGTTGGTGCTTTAGTTTTCTCTAGCGTAGTTCTCAATACTTCAGACTACCAAGTGAAGGCAGGCAGACAAATACTGGGGTATTGTCTCTGGCAGCACCACTGGAGGTGGTAAAGGATCCTGTTCTCAAACTCGGCTCATCATCACAATCACCTGGGTTACTTGTTAGACACATTCCTGGAGTCCACCCCTGCAGAGATTCTGATACCAAAGGTGTGTGAAGAGGTCAGATGATTTTCTTTCGTTTTGTTCTGTTTTGTTTTTTGAGACAGGGTTTCACTCTGTCACCCAGGCTGGAGTGCAGTGGCTCGATCTTGGCTCACTGCAACCTCCGTCTCCCGGGCCCAGGGGATTCTCATGCCTTGGCCTCCTGAGTAGCTAGGATTACAGGCGCGTGCCAAGACACCTGGCTAATTTTTTGTATTTTTAGTAGAGATGGGATTTCGCTATGTTGGCCAGGCTGGTCTCGAACTCCTGGTCTCAAGCAATCCACCTCCCTCAACCTCCCAAAGTGCTAGGATTACAGGCTTGAGCCACCGTGCCCAAATGATTTTTCATTTAAGAAATGTCCCAGTTGATTCTGATGCTCCCTTGGGAGCATATCCAGCCACCTCGTTTGGAAGATAAAGAAAATAAGCCCCAGAGGTTGGAAGTGAATGGCCTATGTTCCGCAGGCAATTAGTGGCAAAGCTAGGACCTTTAATTCTTCATCTATAAAATGGGGTTGAGATATGGCAATTAAATGCAATGTTAGGTTCAGGAACATGGCAAATACTCACTAAGTCCCAGTCCAGTACTCTTTCTTACTACAGTGATCTAAGTGCCAAACGAAAAATGAGTTTTTCTTAAACTTATTTTTAGGTGCCAAGATCTCTTAATGTTATTTTAGTCTAAATGAAGTAAATAAAAATAGTAAGTGTGTGAGAATGTGTGTGTAAATACATGTGTGGGGTGGGGAGGGGAGAGAGGGAGGGAGGGAGGGGGAAAGAGAAGATTTGTGCTGATAATCCAAGAAAGTATTAATGATGAGACTATAAATAGATCCGTTTTGCAAACTGAGGTAAATATCTGT